TGTTCAAGAAACATTTCTGTTTATTATCTTTTTTGAAAACATTGTGTTGTGCCGCCAGATTATTTAGTGGAAACTGTGATGCATTTCATTTTTCAGGATTCACAGATGAATAGAAAGTTCAAAAGAACAGCGTTTATTAGAAATAGATAGTCGCTGTCACTTTTGATCAGTGTGATGCATCCTTGATGATTAAAAGTCTCGGCGTCTTACTGCAGTAGTGTATGTTTCTAATCTGGGCTCGGATTCACTGACTGTTTTTCTCTGACTGTGTCTCTGGTCAGGTATGTTGATCAGGCGTGTGCTGAATGCGTCTCTGGGGATTCTGATAGCGTATCTGAGCGTCCCGGTCGTGATGAACCTGCTGAGCTCCAGACAGATGATGAACACCTCGTTTGATCCCCTGCGGATCGTCAACACGTACGGAGCCTTTGGCAGGTAGCGCATCCATCTCGGTCTGAACGTCGCTCTGTATAAAGCCCATCAGTAGCCAGCAGATGGCAGAGTCTAACCAGCTCACGTGTGTCTCTGGCGCAGTGTCACTAAGGAGCGGACGGAGGTGGTGTTTCAGGGCACGCTGAGCGTCAATCACACTGGAGAGGAGGTTATATGGGAGGAGTATGAGTTCCTGTGTAAACCTGGAGCTCTGGACCGAAGGCCGTGCCTCATCTCGCCGTATCACTACCGGCTGGACTGGCTCATGTGGTTCGCTGCGTTTCAGGTTAAACAGGGAGAGGAGACGCTCTGTATTTTCCAGAAAATGTTTGCTGAAAAACAATACAGCTAATGTGAAACATTATTATCATTCTCATTATATATAATGAAACATTATAAACACTATTAACCTTGAGGCTTTTAGCCTTTCTGTTTTCTTGTGTTAAAGAGGAATAGTTCACCTGATTAGCTGAAAATGTGCTCATCCTTGGGCCATCCGAGGGCCATTTCGTCAAAACAGATTTAGAGAAACGTAGCATTGCATCAGTGTCTCAGCAATGGATGCTCTGCAGTGAATGGGTGCCGTCAGAATGAGAGACTAAACAGCTGATAAAAACATCACAGTAATCCACAGCACTCCAGTCCATCAGTTAATGTCTTGAAGACAAAATCTGCGTGTTTGAAAGAAACAAATCCATCATTAAGATGTTTTTAACTAAAATACGAGTCCATGATCCATAATCACGCTTCCTCCAGTGAAAACGTGGTCTGAATCAGGAGAGAAATCTGCACCGTTTACAAGCCAAAACAGCTCTAAACAAATATGAGGCTGGATTGTGACGTGAGAGACTACAGGAGATGGACTTTTTCACCGGAGGAAGCATTTTTGTGGATTGTGGACTCGTATTTTATTTAAAAACATCTTAATGCTGGATTAGTTTCAGCTTTCGTCTTCTCCAGATGTTAACTGATGGATTGGAGTGGTGTGGATTATTGTGTTGTTTTTATCAGCTCTCATTCTGACGGCACCCATTCACTGCAGAGCATCCATTGCTGAGACACTGATGCAATGCTACGTTTCTCCAAATCTGATGAAGAAACAAACTCACTTATATATTGGATGGCCTGAGGGTGAGCACATTTTCAGCAAATGTTCATTTTTGGATGAACTATTGCTTTAAAGCATGCATGAAATATCACTTTTACCTGGCAGATAGCATGGAAATAAGTGTCCGGGATGTCAGACGTGTCTCAGCGCTAAGCTCTGTAAACGGGCAGAAAGTGGGCTTAGTTCAGTAGACGTTGGGTTAATTATCCATTTATCCAAAAATGCATTAAAAATGCAATTCATACCACATGCATTTACTTGAAAACACCTCTTCTGTTATGAGGATATTTTAGCTTCTCCATTACAATTCATTTTGACGTGGAGGCCACAAAGTAAACAATGTCAGGGTGATGCAACTGTGCTAATATCATAATACTTTTATAAGGATTTTAAGGAAGTTAGTACAGCTTGTGCAGTGTCATGTGGTGGAACTCCCTAAAATAATTATAATGATATCTTTAAACAAGTACTTTTTTTAAACGTGCAACATCTATTTAAAAACTTTTTTGAAAATAATGATTTAGATGCATTCACACATATTTATTTATTTCAGTTCTAATGAATGCATGGGTTTGTCTTTTGTATTTGCCCTGTCTCTTTAAATCAGCAAGATATAAAATCCCTGCTGTCACTTTCTCTTAATGAATTCTTCACCAGGAGATGAATTTCAGCCCAGTACAAAAAGCCCAGTCAATAGAAAGTGTTGAGATTATTTATAATCCTTATGTAACGTGCACACACCGATAATAATTCAGCTGCACAGACAAATGAGATCATCAATCTTCTGAAGAGCTTCTGTGAGTCTCAGTGTCCCCGATGTGAAGTTTTATTTTTGTTACACTGGGCATTTACAGTCATGCATCTTATTATAATTAGCGAAACTTCATTGTTCACATACTTCTTGGGGTCACTTTATATATACACACGTCTATGTTGAAAAGAAGTCTTGAACTCTTTTCTCATCACAGTTGCGCTGCTCAGAATGCAGATTCCTTGAATGTGAAATCCTCTGAAGTGAATGAGCTCAAACATGCGTTATGAAATCCAGTGTGAGCTGGTTTTGATGCGTCTGTGGTTTCAGGTGGATACAAGGAGAGCATTTCCGCTATAAATTCACGCGGCCGGGCAGCAGCAGTGCGGCTCAGGGGAAATGGTGGGTCCGGAAGCGCATCGGCCCTTTCTTCCCCCCCGTTAACCTGGACAGCCTGAGGAGCTACTTCCAGTCCAGGAGCTGGCCTCTGCCCGGCTCTTACTAAGCCTCGGCCACAGACAGCCACTTTGTCTTTTTTTGTATGTCACAGACTGAAGTATATCCTATCTGAACTGTGCCAAAGACGATCTGTTACAAAAGAGATTTGTGAAGGCAACTCTTCTGTGTCTCTGAGGAGCAGAGCATGTGTTGAATCGAGGGCTGTTTCAAGCCTGCCAACAATAACAAACACCGTTTCTGCTATTATGTGATTTTGAGTACAATCAAGCGTTACAATCACAATGCAGTTGCTGTTGAATATGAAAAAAGGCTAATCGGCTAATTTTTTTTTTTTTAAATACAGATTTTTTTTTTTTCTAATAACCTTCTGTGAGATAAAGATTAATAGTTCAGAGTTGATGAGTAATTGATTTTCAGAAATTATTTCAATCATTTTGTCAATTTCAGGTGGTTCATCTGATTAAAATGTTTAACGATGACGTGTTTTTTTCCCATTTCTTTTTATTAAATGTTCTGTTTGAGTGTTCCAACCAATCCAGCTCATCAAAATATTAAATTATTACCTAAAAGTTAATTACATTATTTCAGCTATTTCAGTAAAATTTTCAATTAACAGTGTCTTTTATTATTATTATTATTATTAGTAGTAGTAGTAGTAATTATTACCAACAACAAATAATAGTACTATTATTTAATATTTTCTTTTAATTTTTATTCCTTAAACAAATAAGTGTATTATTCCTATTTCCTATTTCCATATATATATAATAATAATAATAATAATATAATTACATTTCATTTTCTTATAATTTTAATTCCCTAAAAACGAATTAAACTATTCCCATTTTCAGCTATTTTTGTCAAAATTGCTAAATTTCAATAAACATAATAATGATGATGATAATAAATAATAATAATAATCATCATCATAATCTTTTAATATTTATTCCCTAAAAACGAATTTAATTAATCCCATTTCAAGCCAATTTGGTCAATTTTCTCTTATTATTGTTATAATAATAATAATAATAAAATATTTTGAAAGACAAGCACCAGTACACACATGATATAAATACAAATGCTTTAACAAATCAATAATAATAATAATAATAAAGATATTATTTTAATTGTTATTTATTAGAAAAACGAATTGAACTATTCCAATTTCCTTCAGTTTTGGTCAAATATTCAATTAACAGTATTGTGAAAAAATTCTAAATGATGAAAAGTACAGTAGTGTCTCGTGTACTCCTAGTGCTGAGAATATAACACCAGCACACGGAGGATATAAATACAAACACTTTAACAAATCGATAATAAATACAGACAATGCATTGGGATGTGGGCATGTACAGTACTGATAGGTGTGTGATGCGCCGTTGCTCTGAGGTGGAAAGCGTAGTGGATAAAACACATAAATAGAGCAGCGTAAAAATAGAAAACCTAAAATAGACAAATGTACACAGAGAGCATGGAAAGATAAATTGAAGTCCGCTGACAGATGTCATCAGCTCCTGCAGCACACCACTCCGCTCTTCTCCCAAAGCCTGCTTCTAACGGCTGTCAATCAAATCTAAATCATAAATTCGTCACATATAATAATATAGTATACTCATTCATTTATCAGTATTTGCTGAGAAAGGTCAGTATATTATACCTTATAATGGAATATACAGGTCAGGGGGCATGATTAAATATGATTTTTTATTGCATTAATAAATTATACTATAGTCTACGTTTTAAATATCATATAAAAATAAATTATACTAAATTAACACAAAATCTACAGTCCTAATTTCAGTGTATTATTCCCGTCTTGTAATGTTTCAGGTAGCTACACAGAACTATGCAAAATTGTCAAAGTTTTATTTATTTATTTACTTATTTATTTAAGACTAGTCATACGGTTTAAGAGAGCTTTAAAGTACTAATTTGACAAGATTAACTGCTCTTCAAATAGAACAGAACGGAATAGAATAGAATAGAATTATGAACATCATCTTTCTGAAGCAGGTTGCATCCTTTCTGGATAAAATATGTAAGAGCTATTGCAATTTATTCTATTATCTAATATCTATTTTTTAATTTCAAAGGACTAATTTCGTATTATGATTAAGACAACTGAGAGCTTTTTTTAATCATGTGCTCATCTCTGAGTCACTGGTGGCTATATGTGACTGAAGCTTATGTAAGGCTCTGTGAAGAAACACCGGCATTATATTATCCACACTTCACCGTGAGTCATATCTGCACTTCACCACGAGTCTGACTGTCGTCATAAAGTCTGGTTCAGTTTATAGCTTATTCCTGCCAAGATGTTTATGCTTGCTTGTCTGTATGATGTGCAACTTAAACATCTTGTTATTTTTCTGTTGCCTTCACATTATGATAGTGCTTTACTATTGAAATGACCTTGAGCTCAATCTGAAGAATGAGATTTTTTGTGTGTGTTAATTTTCCAGGCAAAACATTAATGTAAGGGCTGTAAAATGTTGTAGCCGTCTGATCAAATTTACATTTGCAATAATGCATTTGACAGATGGTTTTATCCAAAAGTATGGAATAAATAAATAATTGTGACTTTCTCTCACATTTATGACTTTTTAAATCGCAAAAACTTTTTTTTCTCTCTCGCAATTGTGAGAAAATGTATGAATCATAAGAGAAACTGTGCAATTAACTTAAAAAATATATTTTTGTTTTTTAAATTTTTTAATTCTGTGACTGAAAAAAGTCAGAATTGCACAATATAAACCAAGAAAAATGTTGTGAGATATTTTGTGAGAAGTAAACTCAAAATGTTAAAAAAAAATTTGAGTTATCAGATAAAAAGTCAGAATTCGGCCTACCTTTTCTTAGTTTTCTTTTATTCCGTCGGGGGGAAAATCGGAATTGCATGATAACCCAGAATTCTGAGTTTACATCTTGCACCCCCCCCCCAATTTCCCCCCCCCACAAAATTTTAACTCCACCTTTTATTTCACAATTCTGTCTTTCTGTCTTTGTTCTCACAGTTGTGCATTTGAGTTATATTCTCAGAGTAACGAGAGAGAGCAAAAAAAAAAAAAAAACAATTGTGAGAAGCAAACTCAAAATTGTAAGAATAAATTCACAACTCCCTTTTTATGCATTTATAGCAGATTGGCCTTCCATACCAAAAAGACTGCATTCAAGGTTTTAATTTTTCGTTGAACTTCGAGTTCATTAATTGTCAAGTCATCTTAACCAGAACTAATCCTGATGTGCGTTCAAAATAAGACTGCGCCTTTAAAAGGGCTTTGTATTGCAACAAGTGGAGAGTGAGGATGCGCTCGGAGTGCCTGCGCGCGTGCGCTACTATGATGCTCAAAGGAGTGAGGAGGTGAATTTTCTCTTCACACTGACGGAGCAGCTTCACAGGCAGGGTCCAGAGACGCCTTTTCTTTTCTGAAAAAGCACCAACAAATTGTCGGAGCAGTTGCGTAAAACGGAGCGGCATCGCGAGCAACAGAAGCAGGTGCGCTGCTCGCACTCTTTATTTGACGGAACCCTGAAGTCATGCGCGCGCTACTTGATGAAAAGTTAATTCACGCGTACTAAGACACAGACAGCGGGAGAAGTTAAGTGCACAGAGCGCGCGTTTCGCTGCTCATTAATTACTCGTCGCACGTTCGCACTGGGAATAAACAATCATAATGTCGAGGAAAAAAGCGCTCAAAGGGAAGGGGAGTTCAAATACACCGAGTTCATCTCCGAGCAGCGATAAAGAGAAGGGTAAGAAAGTCCTGACCCAGTCCAACGGAGTGGTGCATCCCAGCAGACCCTCTCTCAGCAACAGCGGAGAATTCTACGACATCGCCTTCAAGGTACATGACAAGCCGCTTTGAACAACGCGAACCCAGTGCAGTATGGCAAGCCGTTTATACATTTATTCCCTTTTTTTTGGTTACTAGTGTGTTTTTGTGTGTGTGTGTGTGTATATAATTTCAGTGACCATTTGAAAGATTCTAATTATTCCAAGTCCAACTAGTATCTATTAGTCATTGATTACATACTAGTACTTATTTGGACTTCTATCTAAATAGAATCAAGTAACTGTAATCGATAATGGTTTTATGTAATAAATAATGTTTTTAAAAACATTTACTAGTAGTGACTAGAGCAGTGACTAGTACCGTATTGGCCCGAATATAAGACGACCCCCCTTTTTCCAGATGTACCTTTTGGAAAAAGGCTTTTTAAAAACCAAATCTTGTTTTTTCTCAGTAAAACACATTTTGTCTTCAATTATTTTCATATTGCATATTTTTCCTATTTTAATTTTTGTTTTGAAAGTATGGTTAAAACTGGTCAAATGTACCAACAATCACATTTAAAAAAATATACACTTTTTGATATACCATAAAAAAAACACATGAATTAGGACATTTAGGCTATCCATCTAATACTAGCCTACCAAAATAGTAGAAGTTAAATCTTACTGTAGTCTTCAAATCTGGGTACTGTCTTACGTTTTAAAATCACAAAGAGAGTTTGGTCCCATCAGGCTAACGTGACAGTCACGACTCATGCAGCTGTAAGCTTTTCTTTTTCTTTTGATTTTACTCGCGATCTTGACATCACGCATTACATTACGTATTTCATGGCACACTCGTTTTCTGCGTATTTGGCGCCACCTAGTGTTGTGGGTGTATTGACATGTCAAAGTCTAGACCCTGAATATAAGACGACCGTGATTTTTCAGATGTATTTCCAAGAAAAAAAAAAACGTCTTATATTCGGGTCAATACGATAGTTTTTATACTTACTAGTATGTAATTTCAGTGACTAAGAGTATATTTGAATTTCACTATCCATTGCGAAGATGCGAATTATTCGAATCCTAATTCCTTTCTATTCAATTTGTCACCTGTTTGTCATTAATTACATAGGCCTACTAGTAGCCTACTTATTCTCTTTATCTCTCTTTTATTTTCTTTAGTCACAATCTAAATATTAGCAGGCAACTATTCCATTGTAACTGATAATAGTATGTATATTTTAAAATATTTATTAGTAATCAATTTAAATATTTGAATCATTATATAAAAAAAAGTCTGTGACATTTACGGTAAAATACCGGCAGCTGTGGTTGCCAGAACTTCACCATAAAAAATATGATAGCAACATTTTAGGTTTTACAGACTTAACTTAAATTCACAATAAAAAAACCCAGATTTTAATAAACCAGCATATTGAAGTACTAATATCTGTTTTGAACCATTGTAATACTGATAACCACCAAAACAGGTGGTGATGAGAAAGTCACATGATGAATCAAAGCTCATAAATATATATATATATATATATATAGAAGGTGCACAATGTCATTCACACAAACACTAAACACCATCATGGTAACACACATGATACTGAAATAATTCAATAAACATTCATTTAACAACATTAGATGTAAGATAAAACCCTAATGTACACAACTGATAAGAAGAAAATAAGAAGAAACATAGTTATTTAAATGAAAAAACAAAATATGAAGTGTCATGCAGGGAATTCTGGGAGTGTAAATTTTTGGTTTTTCACTGTAAATTATACAATGACTTTTTCTATTTCACTTCCAAAAACCGTAATTTTAACAGCATTTTACTGTAAAATTACATTAAATGTAATTACAGTTATTCACTGCGTATAGTATGGAAACTTACTGATAACCAATTAACAGGTTTTTACTGTAGCATTTTTACAGTCTTTTACTGATAAAATCACAATCATTTTTACTAAAAATTAAAAAGATGCTAATTATTCAATTCATTATAGCATCTATTTAGTTTCTCTCTAGTTCTCATTCATTACATACTAGTACGTATTGCCTTTTCCGCTTTAACTGGTAATAGGCCTAGTATTTTTTATGTTTACTAGTAAGTCATTTTAGTGACTACTTGTATATTTGAATTTCACTAACCATTCAGTCTGACATTCCAGTTCTAACTAGTATCTACTTAATGTTACTAGTTCTCATTCATTACATGCCAGTACTTCCTTTCTACTAGTCAGTATCTCAGTAGTATTAACTATTCCATTATAACTGGTAATATGTTTTTATGTTTACCACTAAGTAATTGTATTGATTATTAGTATTTGAATTTCACTACCCATTCAGAAGATGCTAATTATTCCAATTCTAACTAGTATCTAGTCAATTACATACTCATTATATACTAGTTACTAGTTACAATTACATACTCAGTACATACTAGTACTTATTCCCTTTCTGCTAGTCACTATTTCAAAAGTATTGAGTACTTATATTTCATTGTTAATGGTAATAGTATTTCAGTGACTCTTAGTATATTTGAATTTGATGAACCATTCAGTCTGATATTCCCATTCTAACTAGTATTTATTCAATTTGTTACTATTTTGAATCCATTAGATACTTGTACCTATTACTTGTAACTATTCCATTGTTACTGGTAACTAATTTGTGGTAACTGATATTCTGTGGTCATCTGAGGTTTGCTATTTGTTTCAGACTACTAAGTAGTTCATTTGTTGAATTGATAGCTTTCAGTCACGTGACCGGCTCGAAGACCTGGAGGGCAAAACATCCATAGAACTGCAGCACAAAACTATCAATTTTCCTTCTGTTTCACAGCCACAAATATTTAGATCACCTCTTAAAAGAATAAAACAAAGGTATGTGAACAAAATGCAAGTTTTGGCCATTTGCAATCCATATTAAGCACCCGCGGCAATATTTCAATCATTAAACAGTGCGACAAATGTTGTAAAAACACTTAAAGTGCCTTAATATATTTAAAACAGTAATATTAAAAGATCAAATTCAGTAATCACTATATTAATGATGCGTAGTTTACATAGGCAAGCAGATGAGGCCGGAATATGAACGCAATCCGCTTAATGGTTCAGTGTTTTCCTTATAATGGTTTTCTATGGGAAACCATTTAACGTGAAACTTTGCACATTGTGTTTATATTCTGGGTTCAGTCTTGCCTGTACAAAATATATATCATCAATAAGGTGTTTACTGAATTTCACCTTTTAATATCTGAGTTTTACTACAATTACTACTTAATGCAAACTGCGTAAAAAAAACTGGCGGTCAGTGGAGCAAAGCTTCATTTTGCCCTCCAGGTGGGCGTTCCTATGAGTGTGTGACGTCACATGAAAACTATCAATAGGCACAAGTTACTTTTGGATTACTTAAAAAACAAAAACAAAAAAAACAACCATAATAACATTAAAATTAGATTATAATACGTTTTAATAGATAGGCCTACTGTTATGTTTTAAAGGGAAAAATGTTAAAATGGCTTGCCATACATGTGAATATGTGAGTGTAAATATTTGCCAGCTAAACATGGCAATTGCCTTATATAATTGATATTTCATTGCTCTAATGGTTGTGTGCAGCTTCACTAGTTTGTGTATGCTACAGCAGTATTTAAAAACAATGCAATACTATCCAGCCGTCCCATACGGGCGAGAATTACGCGCTCTGTTTGACTGAAGTTAAGCGGGGCCTCTAATTGAACAGCTGTGTCAATACAGATAAGCCAGAGCACAGCAACTGAGTTATTCAGCTTGATGCAAGTACGCTCACTTACTAGCATCCAACACTGACGTATTCTTCTTCTGAGCTTTGCATGTTTGATGTGGAAGTGGTGAATAATGCATTTATATAATCCTTCCTTTATGAATCATATGCATTGCTTTTTCATCAAATAGCATCAAATGCAGTCAGGAATGGTCAGCAGTCATTCACCAGTGGACAGTGCAAAGGAACAGGAATAGCTGAGCACTGCCCCGCTTTCCCAAACTAATCCTGCAGCTCCATACATTTAAACCAGTGTTTCCTAACCTGTTTTATACCCCACAACTCCATCAGTGAGACTCAAGTACCCCAAACCAGAAATGTGCTCCTTTTTGCTCATATTCTGCTGCATTTATATTTAATTCATTACATTAGAAGGAAATCTCTTCAACCACCACCAGCGGTTGTAAATGTTCCTAAAATAATTCTCATTTAAACCAAAAACAAGCACTGATGTCAGTGAAAAATCATCAAGTAGCTGCTTCCTTTAATGAGACACCTGATCTTGTTTGGGCATCACAAGTTTTAACAGGTCTGAGGGATGAAAGGAAGTACTGGCATGTAATGAAGTTTGAGTCAAATTAGTTTTATATACAGCAAAATCCATTTACTTCATGTCAGTGTAATTTTAGCGTCATTGATATGCTATCAGAGTTTTATTACAGACGTCCCATTCTGATGTCTGCATCAGATTCAATTTACAAAAGTGTTTTTATCTACATGGAAAGTATATTAAATGCAAGTAGAGTGTCTGCTTTAATGTTTCAAATAAAATGTCAAAATATGGTTTAAATTTATTTATGTACAAATGAAACCACGTACTTATTCTGACCTAAAGTTATTAAAATATGTAAAAGAATAAGTGACTAAATTATACAAAATTTTACGTTATCTAATGATTCTTGTTACAAATAGGCCTGACATTTTCGGTATACGAACTATTGTTACACTGAATGGCATTTTTCCTGTAAATCATGGTAAAAATGTATCAATTATTTTTTGCTAAATTTTTTTAAAGCTGTAATATATATAGGGCCAAAGCTTACATGCAGCTTATATAGTTTTTGTAGTTGTTTTAATACATCAAGTTAATTTTATTGTTTTGTTGACTGTAATAGCCCTGCTTCCTTTTGGGAAAATGACTGGTTTGGTGTACTAAGTATGTAGTTTTGTTCTAATCTCATCTCTCCTCAAGCAAACCCCTCCTTCCCACTCCGATATTCCTGCCTTTAATCTTTACGGCCTTGAAAGTGTCTTTCTAAGCGCTGCAGGGAATGAGACATAGTTTGATTGACGCTCTGATGGAAAGATGAGAGGTTGTTTGTCTCTTAATAGAATGAATAAGAGGCGGGGAAGATGAGAGGAGAGATGCTGGGATAGATTGTGTGTTCTGCTCCATCTTTCATATGTCTTTCTCTCCAGGTAATGCTGGTTGGTGACTCTGGGGTGGGGAAAACCTGTCTGCTGGTTCGCTTTAAAGATGGAGCGTTTCTAGCTGGGAGCTTCATCTCAACAGTCGGTATAGACTTCAGAGTGAGTAGAGAATATGAAATATACATGCACTAATGCATATACACTAATAGACAAAGTTTGGAAGTTGAAAAGTTATATTGTTGTTATATTATATCGTTGTTATATTTATTTTTACTCCATTTTTAATAGTGCTGTCAAACGATTAATCACGATTAATCGCATTCAAAATAAAAGTTTTTGTTTACATAATATATGTGTGTGTACTGTGTATATTTATTATGTATATATAAATACACACACACACATACAGTATATATTTTGAAAGTATTTACATGTATATATTTATATTCATATAATTTATATTATATATACACATATATTTAATATAAAAACAGCATATTTTTCTTAAATATATGCATGCATGTGTGTGTATTTATATATACATAATAAATATACACAGTACACACACACATATTATGTGAACAAAAACTTTTATTTTTGATGCGATTAATCGATTGACCGCACTCATTTTTAATCAAATAAGTTCAGGTTTGGTTAGCATGAGAGACTTTAACATTACATTTTATTACAATTTAATTAGAAACTTAAAAATGTCTTATTATACTGGTGTTATTAAAAATATTCTGGTAGTGTAAATGCATGCATTTTTTAATCAGCCTTAGAATTCATAGTTGTTTATTATTTCAATGCAAACCTCCTTTGCATTGTAGCCAAACCATGCATGAATGCATATAAATGCATACATTTATGTAAGCTTTAGAATTCATAGTCGTTTATTATTCCAATGCAATGCTCTGCTGCATTGGAGAATATAGAATATACATGGATTAATGCATATAAATGTATGCATTTTTATCAGTTTTATAACTCATAGTTGATTATTTTTTTCAATGCCATCCTCTGTTGTATTATGTCCAGTAGGACTCATTTAAGTAAAAATCAATCGGTTCAGAAAATGAAAGGATGGCAGACAGTTCTGTCTTTATTTTCTTTGGCTTTATGAGCACTAAAGGCTTGTGCTTAGCTACTATGAAGCAGCAAAACCATAAGACGTTACAGCTGGCAATAAAATAGGCCATTTCTGTGTCTCTTTTCTGTTACATCAATAAGAAGGAAACCATCATTACCTATCGAAGCTCTTCGGGGCTTTTATTTTCCAAACAATTTTTAAGAGCAATACAGACAGACAACATGAACTGATGAACGATTTGGCGTCCTGAGACCGCTGTGCATCATTTCAGCTCTTCCATTACTTCAATACAGCCAAAGGCACTGAAAGCTTTTTCACAAACCCAGTACTCTATCATTTATGTGAACTAATCTAGAGGACAGGACACAGTGTCTGTGTGTTTGCACTGCTTTGGTCAATGTGAAAGGGTCCCTTTATTAGATGGAGTGGCTGGATCTTTTCGTATTTCATAAGCTTTTAAGTTTCTATGCAGACATCAATAGCTATATGCTAGATTGAGTTGTTGTTGTTGTTTCAATCATATTCCCACTCTCTATCTTCAAACACTTTAATTCTCATAATGCATTCAAAATCTGTGTACTATATTTGCATTTCACAATTATTTTGTAAAACAGGCATAAAATATTTTTCAATATAAACCACATTGTATCTGACAAGCAGCTTCTCAGTGATGAGTAAGTGTGGAAAAAGGTCAGTTTTTAATGTTACTGCATCTAAAAAATAAAATCTAAAAAATAAATTGCCTGATATTTTTAAATTACACATGAACCACACACACAAATATATGTATATATATATAATCTTATTTGAATATATCATCATATGAAATTTATACAAACACTTAATCTGAGAATTTCCTTTGAATTTATAACCGAAACCAACATATTTCTAACAAACCAACATCAAAACAACATGAATACTACTATAAGTTTTCAAACAAAATAAATAAATTCATTTTAAACTTTCACTTTCAGATTAAAAAAGTGATCAGTTTTTCATGCTGCAGTGGTTTGTCAATAGACAAATTATGCATATACATGTTTATCAACACACATCAGTCCCAAAACTGTGTGAGATATGGGGAAAAGGCAGAATATAGTTTACAAAGGTTTTTGAGACTATAACTTTATAGATCATTTAGCAAAAGTATTTTTGACACCCAACAGTACTTCATACATACCCGGGTCAAAATGACCCGAACATGAAACTAAATGTGTACTTTGAGTGTCTTAAAGGGATAGTTCACCCAAAAATGAAAATGTGATGTTTATCCGCTTACCCCCAGGGCATCCAAGATGTAGGTCAGGGTTTAATTTGGTTTTGTTTGTGTTTGTTTTTTTGACTCTCAAAGCCGTGATTCCCATTCACCTCCATTATAAGACGGACAGACTGCAATGGTTTGAGTTAAAAATCATCCTATGTTTTCTACTGAAGAAACAAAGTCACCTACATCTTGGATGCCTTGGGGGTAAGCAGATAAACAACATATTTTCATTTTTGGGTGAACTATCCCTTTAAGGCATTTGCTAAGTTTTCTTCCCTTACTAAAAACTTTGTATTTTTAAAAAATGTGACATGCATCCCTTCCGGGTCAAAACTGACTTTATTGTATTATGAGGGTTAATGCCTTTACTCTGATTTCACTGACAGAGTGAATGGGAATCACGGCTTTGAGAGTCAAAAAAACATACACAAACAAAACCAAATTAAACCCTGCGGCTCGTGACGATACATTGATGTGTAAAGATATGAAACGATCAGTCTGTGCAAGAAACTGAACAATATTTATATCGTTTTTTACCTCTGATTTTCACCGCAATGTCTGAACTGTCCAGAGTGCATCCTGAGCGCGTTCAACAGCCGGCGCCTGACGCATCTTCTTCTTCTACTTGCTTTACGGCAGATCGCAGACTTATAAGTGCATTACCGCCACCTATCTCTCAAATGGACCATTGACACTCTATCTACAATCTCAATTAGGAGTGTCAATGGTCCATTTGAGAAGGAGGGGGGGGTAATGCACTTATAAGTCGGCGATCCGCTGTAAAGCAAAAAGAAGAAGATGTGTCACGCGCTCAGGATGCGCTCTGGACAGTTCAGACATTGCAATGCATCAGAGGTAAAAAACTATATAAATACTGTTCCGTTTCTTGCACGGACCGATCGTTTCGTATCTTTACACATCAATGTATCGTCACGAGCCGCAGGGTTTAATTTGGTTTTGTTTGTGTTTGTTTTTTTGACTCTCAAAGCCGTGATTCCCATTCACCTCCATTATAAGACGGACAGACTGCAATGGTTTGAGTTAAAAATCATCCTATGTTTTCTACTGAAGAAACAAAGTCACCTACATCTTGGATGCCTTGGGGGTAAGCAGATAAACAACATATTTTCATTTTTGGGTGAACTATCCCTTTAAGGCATTTGCTAAGTTTTCTTCCCTTACTAAAAACTATGTATTTTTTAAAAATTTGACATGCATCCCTTCCGGGTCAAAACGGACTTTATTGTATTATGAGGGTTAATGCCTTTACTCTGATTTCACTGACAGACAGGTTTCCCAAACACTCCTGTCTACATCTCTAGTCCCAAAACTCCAGTTTGCCATAGTTTGAAGCAGTAATTGGCTTGTCGGATTTGCAGAAGCAGCGTTTGTGAGGCTGTGCTCTGTAAACAGTGATACAGAGGAGAGACTTTGTGCTGTAATTGAGCCGTTTCATCTGTAATCCCCGTTATCCTCTCACACTGACTGCCGGATGCAATGCTTTAGACCTGCGATCCGTTTCATTGTCTTTGAATCGAGCTAAAAGTTACTGACAGAATTCGTACTTGTCCAGAAACTGTGCAAATTCACTTCTTACATACTGAAGTTACTATAAAATATGCAGTCAGATGGTCATTACTAGAAAATAAACACCCAGGACATTGACTTGGAGTGGAGAAATGGGCTTAATTTGTGTTAATGATCAGCTATCTATACATTATTTTGCATTTTACATGACTTTGTCAAATAAATGGATATGAAGTATTAATAAAACATGTGCTGCTGTCATGTGCAGTCTGACAGATCTTTGTGACTTCATTGCATTGCGCTGATAAAACATGCAGGATAGTAATATTACAGCTGAATGTGGAATGAAAAGAAACTGTTCATGTGTCATTTGTGCTCTTTCTGTCCTTGGAGTTAATTGTAAATTGATTTTAATGTAAGTAATACATACACGTCTTCCCAGTGTATAATAGTCTGTCGGACTAATAAGTGATTATAATAAAGTCAGTTCATCTTTGTTATTGATCGACAATATACTTGGCACGCTGTTGATTATCACCGAAAATAATTTTGGCTGTCAGTTTGTGAGCATAAATGAAATGAAGGAACAGAACTGTAAATGTAAAAGAAAATGAAACTGTCACCCCAGCTGGCAAAATGTTTGTCACGTATATTTATGCTTATTACAGTATTGCATCACCTGTATTGGCATCAGTTGTGAGTCGAGTCTCCTGGGCGCTTCGTTTGTGTGCTGTTCAGATTTGCTGCGTCCAAATTGGTCACTAATGATGTTGACCGTTAGCGTTTGTACAGCTCAATAAGTTTTGGAGCAGAGCTACAATGTGCAGCTTTTCTTTTGAAATTCCTCGTGCGTCCTGAACGACTGATAGTCCTGCGCTTTAGTTGATTTAATCTGAACACAGGAGCCCGGTGTGATCTCCAGCTCAATGTATTCATGAAGCTCACTTATAGCAGAGCTGTAGGTGTAGGACACTTTCAGTGCTACATCTGCTGAAATGCCAGAGTGTCTTATTTGCATCTGAATGGCGTTGGAAAAAATGGTTTCACGCCACTCAATTGCATTTGCCAGTATTTGAGAGTCCTGAGTCACGGCTTACACTCATCAGGACGCTCGCTGTACTGAAATTGTGCTTTTGGATCGGCAGAGAAACCGAGGCTATTTTTTCCTCTGGATGCATAAAACATAAAATATCCAGTCCAATCCAATCCTGCTTCGCGCCAATCACTCTTGAGACTCCAGGTTATGAAATGCACTGATCTAGTTCCACAAATGCATGC